ATGACATTACACTCATTAGCGAGAGAGAGAGAGAGAGAGAGAGAGAGAGAGACAGAGACAGAGACAGAGACAGAGACAGAGACAGAGACAGAGACAGAGACAGAGACAGAGACAGACACACACACACACACACACAGAGTTTGTTCGTGTGTGTGTGTGTGTGTAAGGACACATCGATTCGAAGTTTTAGGGCTGCAGTACTTTCCTGAAGGTGTCAAATGATCTGGGCTGTGGACAGGGGCGAGGGCATGTGGTATCTTTTCATGTGTAGCCTGAAGGGATGCCTCTTCCGCAGCCTTCACTTGCGAGTTCCACTAGGACTAGGATTCCACCCCAAAACACGATGCAAAATACAGTAAACCACCAGTGCGGGGACCAGCGAAGGATCACCCCCGCTGTGCTTCACCTCCCTTCGGCTTTCTGCCAACATTACTTACGAGGTGTCTGTCACATCAAGTGGAAGCGAAACGTAGACTGTCTGTTGTGCTGTGCGTAAGACGTCGGAGGGTCTTGAGCTAATGATAACTAGTGACGGCAAGGAGCCCCCGCTGAGACCATCCTTTCCGCGGACTCGTGCACTGGCTGGCTTCCGGCCTTCGGTGCTCGGGGGCGCGGATTGGTGTTGAGTCCAGTCCTCAGGCGAGGCTGCAACAACAGTGTAGAAACACGAGACAGCCCCTGGCCCTTTGGGTGAGTCTGCATGAGCCAAGACACTGAATCTGGAAGCGGACACGACTAGCGTCGAAAGGCATTGGTGGCATCTCATACACCGCGCTCACGGCACGCAACCTGGCTCCCATTCTTCGCCGCTGCTTTGTTTGGCTGATAGAGGGGCCCTGTCCGGCGAAGCGGGCAGAGCGGAAGCGCGCCCCTTGAACCATGCGCGCCTTCACAGCTGTGCGGCCAAATGTCGCCTTCGTTGCTGGCGCGGTGATCACTTGCGCCGCGGTTTCAGACTCTGCGAGAATCTCCGGATGCTCCGGCACGACGACAGTCTCAATGTAATCCTTCTCTGCATCCGCTTCGATGACGATTGGTTTCTCGGGGCTGCACGCTGCCTGCTGGTAGCTGGATTGCAACCGCACCACGGCCTTCGCTTTGCTGCCCACTCGGGGACCTCGGTGACCCCTCCTAAGCCCATCAAGTTTCGTGCCGATCAGGTGGAGGCCTGGCCTGAGGGCGCTCGGGCTCGGAAGGCACTGGCAAGCCTTGGAGGAGAGGACATGGCCCAGGACCCTCAGGGACTCAGGGCGGGGGTCGTTTCTCGTTTCTCTTTCGATCCGGGCGACGATCCCAGGAAGAGCATCGAGCCAAGGCTTCGCAAAGCAGAGGCCACCAGAGGCTCAGACGTAGCGCCCTTTCGGCAGAGAGCAACACGCATCTTTCACCCGTCTCATGCGATTTCGGAGGATTTGCCTGGCGGTATACGGCGGAAGCCACTGAACCTTGGCAGCACTCGAATCTGCAGCTGGCTGAGTCCCGGATGTCCGGGGCCGGCACCTTTCAGTGGCTGCGACGCTTCCATGGCTCCTTTGCCACTCGCCACGAAAGTGCGGCATGGCCTTCAGCGGCAAGTCGCATCCGTAGATGTTTGCGGAGCTGGGTGCACTAGGTACAGGCTCAGGACAGCACACATGGACAGCAACCGTGAACAGAGCTGCAGCCAAGAACATGGCCAGCAAGGCCATGCCTTCGCAGTGTTCCAAAGTCCACAGCTGTCTCTGAACTGTGCAAGTTCGAAACCAGCCTGGAGGCCTGCGGCTCCCAGCCATGGGGCTCCTGCCGTGCAAGCTGCTCCCTCTCTTGGTGTCCGCTGGTGATTGAAGACGTCGGTGCAGCTGAGCGCTCCACTTGCAATCTCTATCCAGGACTCGCGCAAGAAACTTTGAGCCGTATGCTGCAGGTCGAGAAGCCCCACGGGTACTGTTGTTTTTGCCGAAGACTGCGGGACCTACTGTTTCTGTCCAAACCAAGTCTCAGCAGCCACAATCGCACAATCCCCGCCTTTCGAAAGCGCCGCTTGGACTCAAACAGCTTTGTGTCGCGAACATCATGAAGATACACCTGATGGTGGCGATGCCATAACTCAGTACGAGGCAAAACGCAAGTTGCTCGAGGTATACACAGGCTCAGCTCAAGAGTGAATATTCCAATTGCTACAGGTAGCCAGCAAAGCACACGTCTCGAGAGTGCATCTATATCGAGCCCTGCATGAAGATAAACGTTACAACAACCTGCCATAATGAGCTCGCTCGTTTTCTTCCACGTCTGACTGCTCTGCAAGTTGGCGGTTCTCTGTCGTGGATGTTTGACATGCCACGAAAGCCGCGCAGAATTGGAATGATTGTCCAGTGAGCAGATAAGCATGAGCACCCATATTGGTGGAGACTTTACGGCCAACACTGCGGGCTGTGAACGTACAAGGCGGATTGAATCCAAGGTATGTAAAACTTGCATGCGAGCCCACCACGATGAACTTGTTTCATGGCGGCAACACCCGAAAAAGACATCTATGACAAGACGTGCCTAGACGACCTAGAGCAATTGCATGGGCAGTGCCATGCCATCCGAATTTCTCAGAATTGCCTGCAAAGATCACTTGTCCCAAGTGTCTTTTGGTTATCAAAACAGCCAGTACATCTAGAGCACACTAGGGCCTGAAAGCAAGAAGGTCGCAGAATTCTTGGAAGTCGAGCTTGCCGTCACAGTTTCTGTCTGCCAGGCGCCACAAGCCACCAACTTGTGCCTTGCCTCAGACATCACCCGGGGTTTAAAGGGAATCTCAAAGAGACCAGACCGGCGTAGAGGAACGGGACACCATGAAACGATTGGTTGCAAAGAATGTGCTGGCATGCCGTACTCTGACTTAGGAAACAGAATGAAGCCAAAAGTTTTGACTCGTCCACACAAAAGCAGCCATTTATGATTCATGACTTAGCTTTCACAGCAGAGCGACTCATCCCGTGAACGGTCCTATGCACAAACTTGGCAAACTCCATGGGCGTCACCATTCCATTCTGCTTTGCGTCCAACTGCTTGAAAAGGGCCATGGGTGCCTGGCCCCGCACGCCCATTTTCAACTGGTAGATGGCGTTATCCAAAGCACTCTGAATCTCATCCGCTGTGATTCTTCTCTTCTGCGTCCTTTGAACAGGTTGCTGTGTGTCCTTGGGCTGAGCTGCGAGCGCCTTCGGATTCGGAACCTTGTTCTTGCCACCCATCTTGTTTACGAGTGAGAAGAACATGCGCTTGCATGCCTGGACCGGGTTACCACTACCACCGGGGTTAGTGGAAGTGGATGCTGTGGGAGAACCAGTGGGCGCGGCTCCGGCTTCCTCTACCTGATTTTGGTAGGCCTGGCCAAAGCGTAGCGTTGCCAGCTCGGCCTCTTTGGCAACTTCACGCTGGAACTCCGCATTCTTCTTCACTTTGATCAGCGCCTGGTCCAAATTATCCTGCGCCCGCTTCTTCTCCTCCAGTGCTTCCTTCACTGGATCCACGCCGGAGCTCTCATGGCTCTGAGAGCGTGAGGATCGAACGGGCCGGCTTTTGCTGCTCTTGCGCTTCTTCTTGGGCTTGCTCTGAACAACCTCTTGGACTTTGGCAGCTGCCTTCTCCACTTCTGCTTGCTGCTCGGCTACCAACTGCTTGGCTTTCTGCATTACGGAATGAGTGAAAGGAGGAATGACATCACGAGGATGCTTGGCAAAGGCGGTCATCAACGCCCGCTTGCTAGCTGCCTGGCGCTCCTCTACATTCGGCTCTCCTGAATCTAGGCTGGGGTTATCGATGAATATGAAACGGTAGGGGTTTTGGCCAACAAGGTCGTAAATGTGCTTGAAGCGCCAATTCAACTCCACTTGTCTCTCGATCCACTGGTTTGCATCTTCCCTGCTTGCCAGATATCTGCTGGCAAAGGTGACGATGACATAAAGATTGAGAAGGCAGTCTGTTCCCCACAGAAATTCCGTGACGTATATCAGCCGCGCGATGGCATCGTCAGTGATACGTGCATTTCGCATAACGAAACACATGGCATCCACGCCGTTTACCGCCGACAGCGCAACATCACGGATGCTTGCAACAACCTTGTCCTGATCGATCTCGGTATCTCCAAGTCCGATCGTGTCTAAAATGACAAAAGAATCGTCGGCTGATTCGAACCTCATGACCTCACGTGCTGCAACATCACGCCCGGTTACTGTCGATGTCTCCTACAACTAGCATCAGATCTCACTGGCTGCGCACCACAACCCGTCCAGACACCCTGCAACAAAACATGGCTGAGTAGCAACCAAGACGCCGAATCCAGGTTCGTTACACTAGCTGTGTCATCTCCCGATGCAAAGGCTTCACAACCTGCCATCAGATTACCGATGGCACTCTTGCCAGCCCCTGTCATGCCAAACATCATCACCGTAAACCTCCCGCCGACAGGCAGTTGAGGTATATCATCTTCGGATTCGGAGTCATGCACATCGTTCCCGTCTTCCACACCAAATGGAGGGATCAGCGATGGTCCATCCCCAAATCTGGGAGAATCCAAATCTGTTGGCTCTCCCGGAAGAAGTGGTGCATCTTGCCGGCAGCAATGTGCACCCATACTGGAGCTGCGACTACTCGAACACTGGGGCGAGGAACATTGCGGCACAAGCTACTGGCCACCTTTCAAGTGCGGAGCTTTACTGGGCTGAGCTGCGTTCAGGACTTGCCGTAAATGCCAGGTCTGGGATTTGGATGGAAGTAAGTGGGAAATCATGGTCAACACGCCGTCAGACTCTCGACGGCATGCGCTGGCGAGCAGAAGTCGATGAGCGCCATGATTCATGGTATCATTGGTATCATGCAGAAGCTACGACCGCAAGCAACGCCCATCTGTGGCCGTGGCTTGCCCTCGATTGAGCATTGGCGGAGCAATGCAAAGCGCCTACCATGTTCCCATGCACGAAGCTTCCAAGATCTTCCAAGCTGCCCTGCGTTGCCTTGCCGCCGCTCCCAGCACAGTAGTCCATCACCATGTCTCCAGGCTTCGCATCGACCTCTTACCCCGTGGCACTGAACACTTCCCAGCTTCTCGCGGTTCCTTTGCACCACATCCGGCAGTGTAGCGCAGAAACCCAGGCAGCAAAAAATGCCCACACACGTCTTTTGGAGCCGGGCCTGGGCAGAAATTATCTGCGAAGACTCGTCTTGGATCTCAAAGTACCTGCCAGCTAGAGCTAGGCTATAGCTTAACATAAAAAGCTCAAACGTCGTGTGCGAAACTGTGGCTCTTGCAAATCCTTGGCACAACCGATGTTCGAGTCTTGAGGTGAAACCTAGCAACTGGCAGTTGCACAACGATGTTCGTCGGTGCACTGCCAGACAAGACCGCCTCCTCAGTCTGCCGCAGCTCGTGAAAGCATGTTACTTCCAGTCAGTGACGCTCACTGATGGGCACTTCTCTTCGAAGGGACAAGATGCCAATGGGCCGACTACAAGCGGCATGTTCGATGTGGGTCCGCCTTTAGTTGCTCGAACGAAAAGAGAGGACGACGTCATCCGCTGCACCTTAGTCTGCGAAGTGTTGATCTCTGTCGTACCCTTAGACCCTGCAGATGGCTGTTGTAAGAAGCACGGAAAGAGACTGTATTGGGCCTGATGTCAATGAGAAGCTTGCGCAGAAAGTCGGAAAGGAAACTGGAGAGCGAGTATGACAAGAACTGGGCCTACTGCCGCACCCTGATATCTGCTCGGGCATACTCTATTGTTCATGCAACAAGTAGGACAGAGAATGCAGCTGGTCAAGATGGTTTTGCAACGGCGTACACACACACATACACGTAACAGGCTACAACAGGGAGAGAGGGTGCAAAGCTGCAGCAGCAAAGGGAAGTGAACGAACGTGGAACACATGAAGCATGACTCACCACCCCGCATAACTTTGATGCCGGCCACGGTCCGAAGGCTGGCTCGCCACCACGCTCGCGCTCATTTTCCGAAGTCTTGCCTCTCTACTCACGACTCAGCTTTTCCTAGGGTCACGATCCCACGTGCATCGGCACACGTCGCCTCACGACGCTCTGCCACCTCCGAGGCTGGCCGAGCCCTCACAACGTTCCAGTCGAAGCAGCCATCATTACGAAAGCCTTCGCCTCGGCTGCGGAAATTCGGAAAAGCAGCCTGAAGCAAACTTCCACCAAGGCGTCTGCGATGGTACAAACTCTTGAAGAGCCAGCGCATGTATCCTCGGTGTTGAGAACAGCTGTCTCAAATTCGGCATCTGGCATCTGGAGTTGTCGGCCAAACCCTCCCAAGTGCACTTCAACCGTGTCCGTCAACTCAATAGTTCTGCCACTGTGGCTCGAGTATGGTACAGAGGCTAAACACAGCATTACATCCTCGACATGTTCAAAGCGAAGTCGTCTGAAGAGTCACGGGCAACCTGCCACATGACACGCGCATGACGAAGCGATCAGCTTGATTTCTGCTACAAAATCAAACTTCTACGGTACCTCGACTGCTGTGGCACTCGGGCTCGCTAGCATTGGGGGATGCCATAACTGACACAGGGTCCATGAAACCGGCCAAGCTGCGGTAATCAGGATCTTCATCGAAAGACAGATGCCGGGCCTCTTACCGTCAACAGCAGCGAAACATCCCGTGCAGCACTTCCCCATCACCACATAGCAAAGCCCTGCCGGCAAGATGCATAGCTGAGGAACGTTGCGAACTCCTGTAGCACCAGGAGCATGGGACGCGAGCTTGACTTACGCAGGTTCCTGCATTACGGACGGTCAGTGGCATGGCTCCTCTGGCAGGCCTTGGCATAGCTCCGTGAAGCTCATTTTGATCTTCATCTCCATGATGGCCGCATACCTTGCGAGCGCAACGCGCCACAAGTGCTCTGACCCCCGCAGATGTCTGCCATGCACTCAAACCCTAAAGCCTATAAACCCCTATAACCCCTATAAACTCTATAAACCCTATAAACCCCATAAACCCTATAAACCCTATAAAACCCTATAAACCCTAAGAAGACCCTATAAACCCTACAAGCCCTAAACCGTGCCGCAGCCAAGACGCTTGTCGTGCTTGCCCTCCGCCTTGATGCCTTGCCTCGGCTCGGCTCTTGCAGGCGCCAAGCGTCCGAGACTTCTCTCGCCAAGAGCCCTAAGATTCAAGGAGTCTAGATGGGCCTTATAATACATATATATATATATATATCTATCTATCTATCTATCTATCTATCTATCTATCTAATATGTATATATATATATATATACACTTTATAATATAGTGTGGGTACATACAACTGGTTTATGCATTCTACTACCTTTCCTGATGCTCTCCTAGGGTCACCCCTGCGTGCCTCATCATACGCACTACAACTGCTGACCATGGCTGGTTCTCCTGCTAGTGCTGCTGCTGCCAGCCTAAACCTTACACGCACATCCAAACAGCTCGGCATGTTTCGCTGCCACTCTAAAATCAGTTTCCAATACAATCAGGACAAGCTGTGTTACTCACCCCATCTTCCCATGTCCGATCACCCTGTTACTGTTAGTCCGTAACCCTTTTTTGCTGCAGGCTTGCAAGCAATAACGCCTGGTTCGTAACCTTTTCAGCACGGACTGAGGTGCCGGCCAGCGCCCATGCAACCCTAAACCCTAAACCCCTAAACCCTAAACACCAAAACCCTAAAACCCTAAACCGCTCATTGATGTCACGCGTAGGGCCACGGCCAGGGCAAGGAGCCTTTGAGGAAGTAGATCAAAACCTGAGAGGACACCCTCAGCACCCATGAGATGCCCCTTTGTGCAATCACAACGGTCATCACTTTTTGTTGACGTTTCCATCTGTAGGATTGGTACATACTCGAAGCTGGTACTGTCCACAGAAGCAGTCGTCGTCGTAACCACGATCAACAGCTCAAGAAGCAGAACTTCAAGGCTCCAGCAAAGCCGATGGCTTCCAAATCATCGCGACGACTCTGCTCGATGCCCAGGTGCGCATTCCTCTTCGTATCGCTTCATCTGGAAACTTGTGAAACGCGGCAGGACTTGCTGGCACTCCGCTTTGCAGCTCCACGCCCAAGCCCTAGACAAGTCTAATGCTTTAGCGAGTTGCAGTGAAGCATAACGGGCAGTGCCCGTCAAGTTCTTGTTTTCACGGTATGGCCTGAGCCACAATCGCTTTCGGAACATCTTTTCAACCAATACATAATATACACTGTGTGCCGGGCCCGTGGACCAGAGTCTCCGGGTTTCTGTACTTCTTGGCCAGGCCGAAGTCGATTATGTACACCTCGCTGTGAACATGGAGCCGCAAATCCAAGGTTTCAGTGCCACGTTCAGTTCCAGGCGAGGTTTGACTTCTGCCCCCGGCCAATCAAGAAGTTGTCCTGCCATCAATAAAGAAAATGCGACAACGGCACCAAGCCTGGGCAAGTAGAGCCAATTTTGACAAGGCACGGGTTTTATGTCGCGGTGTATGTAGTGGCGGTTGTGAAAATGCTCGATCCTCAGTAATGCAGAAAGGAGTGGCAAGCCAACACAACACCGACAAGAGCGCCAAGTCTCCGAAGAAGCAGCTGGTCAGCTAACATCAGCGTGGACTCCCACAAATTTCACGAGGCAAGACCACATGCAAGGAATGACAGCGATCAGGTGCTGAAATGGCCGGGCCTTCAGAGACAGCTTGCGCTTGCAAAGGTTGAAGACATCTTCCAGCGACGGCCCCATCAATTCCATAGCCATGACCTCAGCTACGTACATGCTACGCTTAATGAAATGCAGAAGACCACGGCCACGGCATGCAAATACACCATTGTAAGCCACAGGCTGCGAAGTCTTCCTCGAAGCCAAAATAGAAAATCTGCCGAGGCCAGAACAGGTTTCCGGCAAAGGCTGCATGCGCGCGCGGTAGGCTTCGGCAAGGATGCATCTTCGCATCGTCTGGCTTCATGTTCTGTTTCTCGGGCTGTTCCCGAACCTGGCCTCTGCAACACCAGGCGATCCCTGAAGCAGCTTGAGCAGCTTGGCCTCGCCACAGGTCCATCCGATAGACCAGGACCGACAAGCACGACAAAATCAAGCAAAGGCCGTGATAATCCAACAGTACCGCTTTCCCAATTCCCCAATACCGAGAATCTGCACCGCGTGTCGACGACTGGCGCGAGGATTTTGGAACTGGGAAGCTTGTCCAACCTTTGTGATGAGTCACAATGCGTCGTTACATCCCAACGGCCCCCTGGGGCGGCATCGGCAGCTCCTGTTTGTTGCTCGTCCTGCTTTGCGCTGGGTTCGCTGATGCTGATTCTTTCGACCTCCCTAGCCCGGCCGAAAGAAAAAACCCACTCCCAAGTAGCGACATGTCAATTGGAGGGCCTCTTTTGATCTTCGGCCGAGGGTGGGGCGGCGTCGGCAGGTCAACGAAGAAACGAAGACAAACTCCCGACTTCGGCACCAGAGCTTGTGTAAAACCCGAGTAATCCAAAAAAGCATGCGACGGCTCAGCTCTCAAATCAGGCCTCGTAGATCAGCTGCGGGTGCTTCGTGTCCTGGCTGGATTCACTGACACGGACTAAGCTCATGTTTCCAAATCCTGCGACCTTTCATAACCCTCAGGGTGTGCAACATCTCATACTGTTGCTCCGAGACAGTGCCACATTCTGGTTGTTTGCCGCTTGCGCCTTGACCTCAAGCTTGAGGGCCACATCGCGATCGCCCTGTTCCGAGTCCTTGGCAATGTAGATCCTCAGGGACAGCCGAAACCCAGTCAAAGCAAGACGTGTTCCTTCGTGCAAGCCCGGGGCTGGCCGAAGGACCCGCTTCCCAGCATCTTCGAAAGCAAGAAGCGACCTCCTGATCCACATGTCACATGAGATCGCTCTCAACTGGACTTGGGCTCCTCCAACTCTTCTTCCCTCTTGGCCCATCTCTGGGATAAAGCATCCCCTTCAGGCTCGCCACACATGGAGACGGCGTGGTTCGTCCAGCTTTCAAACCCTCAAAGGACAACGTGTTTTCACGTGCTGCGCCATTGGTACTTGCAGCATGTGCAAAGCAAGTAAAAAAACGCATGGAGCTGTCATTGGCGATGATTTTGTGGCTGGATCACTGCACTAACAAAACCTAACTAAAGAGCCCAAATGCTTCACGGAAGCCTGGAATTCCGGAAGCTGCTGCACAGTCAACTGCTGCCGTTCCCACCCGGGCGGCACCCCAGCTTGTATTCTGGCACCTCGAGCAAGTTCTGCCTGCACGCATGTGACGGAACGAACAATGTGCCAGATCCGCTCCACATCTGACTCTCGCAAGAAACAGTTGAGTGAACCACTTGGAAGTCAAAAGGAGGCCCATTTGGGAATTCTGCCTGGCAATGAAGCTTCATAAAGCGCTGGATGACGATAGCAAAGTGCACATAAAGCTAGCAAGATTCTCGTCTTCTCCACGGGCACGGATCTGCTGCTCAGGAAGGTGAAGACCTTTTGAAGCGCTTCCTCTTCGAGAGTGAGCCGTAGGGCATGCTGTCTGCCTGCAGGCCTTGTCCCTCGAAATTCGTGAAGTGTTCACGCGCAGGAATGTCATCGCCTTTGGACGCGGAGCCGCCGTGTCTTTTACACTGCAAGCCGGACTTTGAGCTGGCCACGGGCTCATTCAGTATCTCGCAAAGTTCCACCGCCACCTGCCAGCGCCCCCTTCTCGTCCTCTCCCAGTAAAAGCAACTCGAAGCCAACTTTGCCTTTGTGCCGACGTTGTCTTCCATCCGCTTGAACAATTCAGACCTCAGGTTTCTAAGTGCTGCTTCACAGCCAACAGCATGCCCTGGTCCCACTGCTACCGGGGACAGGACGGAAAGGAGCACCTCACGTGGTGAGGAAGCTTCTTGTTCTGAGACCTGGGCTGCAGACATCTTCGATCAATACCTGTGAAAAATGAGCTGAGCTGCAGACTGCGCTCGCCACCGGTCCCCCATGAAGAAAGTGCCTAAGTGAGCCAAGCACTTGCTTCTGCCACTTGCCCTCGGATGCTCTCGGCAGCTAAGCGCCACGCGCATGCGATTGACCTTGGGGACACGGCATCGAGCAAACGTCGCAGCAAAAGAGAATGTGGCCCTTCATCGACGTCAGCTCCAGAGATATCATGCACATCGGCGCGCCCAACATGGCCCAACCAGTTCTCAGAGACCTTTTCGACTGCGGCAACAGTTCACTTCCGCCAGGGCAGGTTGTCCAAGTCAACGTTGCCTGAATGAAGCCAACACTAGACGACGTTCCGTCCGTCACAACTGTCTCGCTCACCACTTCTAGTACTTCGAGCTGCCGAGACACCACCACACAGCACGACCCCAATCTTCTGGAGCTCAGGATACCTTGCCAGATTCGCCGGAACATAGCATCGTGACATCACGCTACATGCCAAGTGGCCGATCATAGAGCTGCTTGGATGTTGCCACGGCAACTGCCACACCACATCCCGGCTCGATGACCTCTCAGACATGGGCTGATGTAACCTTCCGCGGAGAACAAAACATGTCCCTTTGCTTAAAACTGCATGTGGCTTAGCTTCCGCATTGCAGAGCTATGAGCCCGCGGAGCTTTGACACAAGACCCAGGCCGGACGCAGGGCAGGATAGCAAATGAGGCGAGGAGCTGGGGTGAGATTCAGCAAAACGCAATCGAACCGGCTAACAATCATGAGATCGTGCCCTGGCACTCGAGGGGATGCCTGCTTAGCTCTCTCCAACGTGAACTTGGTAGCATCCTCGATCTCCTGTTCGGTGGCGGTAAAGACATCGTCCACCAAATCCTGGCAGGGGTCTTCGACCTAGCCACCATTCCGACATGTAATGATATGTAGGCTGGCACCTGGACGACGGGGTACGTCGTTGGACCGAGGCTGCTCTTGACAGAATCGGCAATGGTGTCAATGACGGTGTTTGGGGGATTCTTCACCTTGGAGGACTTGTCAATGGCAGCACTGCTCGGTGCACGGCTGTCCTGTCGTATCAGCCAAAGTGCCAGCTTACCAGCCTGCTTCGACATGAAAGCCTTGGACATGCGATGCCTCTGTGCCCCAATTCAATGCGCAAGATTGCACATGCAGCCCAAATTTGCTGGCAAGGCTCGCTTCTGGCACGCTCGGGCTCTGCACCAATCACTTTGATGGCTTTATTGACGCTTTTGACCTGTGCCGAGGCATTGACGTAGTGGTCGTGCGCAAGAGGGCATGCCGCAGAAAGTCTCAAGCCCTGCTAGGTCCGCAACGTATGTGGCGATTCCAGAGATCAGGCCGCCGCCCCCGATGGACACCTGACAGCCCCACAGTTCATGGTGGCCCCCTGGTCCCTCTCCCCCAACTGCATGGGAGGCCCGGCCACGATGGCATCCAGGTCGGGCTGTTGCTCCAGCAGCTCCAGAGCAACAGAGCCCTGGCCGTTCACCACGCGGATGTCCTGCACCAGGCTGAACGAGGGAGTGCACGTGCTTTCGTGTTTTTGCATGCTGTTTTGCGCTAGAGGCTTGCAGCTGGCGCTCCTGGTTTGGGTGAATCTCTTCAGCCTTGTCTGCACCATGCTGAAGACGAAGGTCAGCCACAATTTCAGCTGACATGGCCTCGCAAGCATCCATATTTGGCTCTTGACATCTCGTGACCACTCCCTGAATGGAAGTCATGTCGGCCTCACGTGCCTCCTGCGTGGGCCTGCAAAACCTGACCTGCGCAAGGCTCCGACGGAATAGTCAGCAAGTTGACGATCCCACCATAAGTCTTGCCGCAGGCCTCTGCGCCGTAGGTGTCTCGCACTGCGCTGACTTTGACGCTGGGGGAGTCCTCTGGCATGACCACGATGGCCTCAGCATGAGAATGATTCAAAACTCTACGCTGATGGAGCAGGACCTATCAGTAACACTCAAGCATTGCACCCTGGCCTTCTTCCCCAAAATCTTGCTGCCCAGGGCTATCGCCTGCAGCGAAAAGGCACTGCCAGCTACCTTTCATTGCTGAACCAGGTCTTGTCGTCGCATGAGCAGGGCAACATGCATCTCTAGCGCGAGACCTGGGCATGGTTGCCACTTGATTGCGTCACGATGTAGTCCTGGGTTCTGGAGCTGTGGTACTGTAACACTCTGCAACCATGCCAGCGCATTCAGCTAGGCGACCGCAGAAGACAAACCTGAATTGCAAACAACAGCGGTTGACGGACAAGATGAGCCAACGAAAAAAGCTGCCCGGTAGCCGATCGCATGGATGGCACCGCGAATTTTGAATGAGCCCGTCTTTTGTTCATGCTCGGCCTGTACACGAAAAGGCTCGGCGGCTGCATCTCTAAGCCCAATATGACATTATGATCACCCAAGCGCGTGCCGTAAGCGTTTGGGTGCCCAAGCCTGCCTTCAGAAACAGGTTGCGTGGAGCGCCGCTTGAACTTGAGGCTCGATGATCCAACTGTCCACATGTGAATACCCGCCTCGGGCCCAAATCACAACATTTCTACACGGCTGGCTTCCGCAAGGTGGGCTATCGCAATCTAGTCGCGTGCGATGGACATGAGGCCGCCTGAGCTTGTCTTCAGCTGGATCAGTCTTGTCATGGGACTTAGAAGCATGCCCCGTGCACAACCCACATAGGTGCACGCAGAGACACAATCGAGCATAAGCCTCCTGGCTTGCAGCAACACCAAAGGCTGCTTCAAAGCGTGCAGGCACACATAGCTCAGCACAAAACGTTCCTCCACGGCGGCTGGCGTCACAAGGGACGCATCGAAGGGCGGCGTTGACATCAGCACTCTGTGAAAGATGCTTGTCTCGCATGTCTCGTGGAATTGGTTTCGTCCGTCCGAGATGGCTGCAAGCAACATCCAGCAGTTACAGCTCACTTGCTTCAGGGTTGCTTGTTTTCTGTTTGTTTCTAGCCAATGGCTGCGGGCCACGGCTCAAAGGCTTGCTGCCAAGCTTGAGATGCTCGCTCAAAGGATTTGGACCCGCACCCAATTGTGCGGTTGTGGGGTCAAATGGTCGATTAGGCCTCGCCACCTGCCATCACTCAAGGCAAGCAAATCACATCCACCTTCTGTGTTTGCAAGTTTCAGCACTTCCTTCACGCTTGCTGCGAAAGGCATACATGAGATGGAAGGCTTCTTCTGCCAGACCCTGCATGCCTATGCATCTCATAGGTCTTGTCTGCAATCCACCTGGCATAGAAGCTTCCATCGCAAGTGCAGATTTGCGGCTGGCTCGTGCCAACCATCCCACGAGCAGGCATCACGCACGGTCTTTCTCGTCCAAGAACTTGTGCGCCTGCTGGCGATACTTGGACGAGTACCCGACAGATCACAACAAAAACTTTCACTGATGACAGATCCGATTAATTATATGGACCATGTGGACCTCAAACTGAAAATCACGTGCCTGGAAGTACCGCCGTAAGAAGAGGTCCAGCGGAAGAGCAGGCGCCTCGGTCCTCGAATAGTGCAGAACTGAGCTTCCTGGGCCAGCAAGTGTCTCATGACAGCTAGCGGATGAGGTCTCGGGAGTCGGCTTCCGCGTCTTGTCGAAAAGATTGAGTGCATTCCTGACAGCTCAAGAGAGTAGTTGTCAGTCCACACCTGAAGCAGGAAATCGCAGTAAGTAACCTTTTTACCCAGCAGAGCCACTCCAGATGTCGAACGCGAGTGGCATTCATGGCATGGGCTACGCCCGGACACGGGACACATATCGCCAGCAATTCAAACCCATGCATGCTCGCGTCGTCGGGAATACTGAACAGGCGATCGTTGCACTGCTGCTCATGTGACCTCCTTACGTGTGCAGCAGGTTCGGTCTTGCTCGGCCATTGCTATCGCCGCGATGGTGCGATTCCATGAGGGTTGCTCACTACAGCTGGGGCATTTGGAGGAGGCGAATCAGCACATGCCAAACCAGCCAAGGCAATTCAAAGGCACGGCGTCATAATTACCAGACAAAATCGCTAAATGCTTACACACTTTTCTGAATGCGCACGCATCTGCCGAAGCGATGCCGAGTACTCTGTGCTGCGCTTGCGGGGCGGCAGTGGGAAGACTTGCCCACGCAGGCTTAGTGGCTCGCGCCTGCCGCGAGAGATTCCACATCTCGACGGGCACTGAGGAGACTGGAATTCAGTTGTACGCCTTGCTGCATCCGGCCTCCGGGCTTCTTCAGCTGCCTCGGCACCCTGACCAGCAGCTTACGCAATCGACTCCGGACACATCGGACTGCTTTGCTTAACTCTCGGGGCCTAGCCAATACAACACATGGCTTCGGAACCACAATGAACCCGAGTATGGCGATTGTCTGTGAAGCCGGACCAGCACGGCTGGTATGCTCACAGACTGCTTCAAACTTCAAAATACCTCAGACGTCTAAAGCACTTAGCAAGCACCGAAAACAGAGACGAGGGGGTCCACGAACGGAGGGTCTGAAACCACCAGCCAGCACCCGGCACGAAAGGCTAGAGATCGCTCCACCTGCTCCACGAGCTCTTCCAGTCCCCAAGGCGATAGGCCTCCAAGCACCAGGGCAGCTTTCCGCTGTTAAAATATGCAGACCAGCATCCCGCAGCTCTGCTGAATCTCCACTCTCCACACGTGCTTCCGTGACTTTGCGATACAAAGCTCTGCGGCCGCGGCCCAGTTCCTCCCTTTGCAACTTCTCCGAAACATCCATGCCTGGGAGCCGTAACATGACACAGGCAAGCAAGGGCTTTCGGCACCAAAGCTCTAAGAGCACAACGGACAGGCACACCCGCAAGTTTTTCGGCGAATCACGTTCACGGCTAGTCATGCGCAAGGCTTTTCGCTCCAGCCACCTCTGAAAAAGCCGACGATGCCCCAATTTTCGAATGCCCTTACCGGGGCAGTGGCTTCACCAGGTTTGATACTTCAGCGCAAAAAGTATCCACAAAAATGAAAAATGCTACGAGACTTCTGAGGCACCATTTGTTGGAAGAATGCTGGGTCGAAGCAAGCTTTCTTATCAGGTCCGTGGGTCAGGTACCTTGGCTGCAACTACACGCGGGTCACCGAAGTGGAAGGGCTTTGCATTTGAGCTTCTTTTTCCGGGCAGCGCCCTCAACCCTGAACCCCAAAGTCGAGCCGGCGGCCCAGACAGAAAGACACCGCAAGAAGTAGATCTCACTGACGACCCCGGGAAGCTGGGTAGCTAGCCCGTCATAGCCAAGAAGCACATCCAAGAGCTGCTGTGGGGAGTCGAAGTGGCTGGCCAGTACATCCTCTCATGCGAAAAAGAACACAAAACCTTCGAGCGCTTAGAGCATTAGAGCCGCTGCTTCCCCGCCAGCGCCTGGTATGTGCTCAGGAAGCCTTGACCATCAACATCCCGAAGCCATGCCGACAGGGTGATGGGCAGACCAAGCTCTCCGATCCAGTCGTCCATTCTGGGCTCCGGCTTCTCTTTCTTTGGAGAAGCACAAGCATCCAAGGCTTCCAAGACCACGGTCGGAGGCCTTGCAGGCAGCTGGGGCGAGAAGTCCCGCAGAGGATCTGAGACATCATGAGACGGGTCCAGCGGACAGCGAAAACCGCCAACCGCGGTACCAGTTTTCTCCAACTGAATCCAGCATTGCGGGCAACGAGGGCCCTGGATGTGAACATCGCTGTTCTGGGCCTCGAAGGCGGTCGGGAGGCTGAGTTGTGCGCACGGATCCGCATTCGACATAGGTGGAATAGGTCCCACCAACCGAGGTCGCAATGCTTGTCGACGGCGGTAATTCTGCAACCATTTCCCAAACCACTTCGGAAGAGACGGATCACTCAGATCCGCTGGTAGCGGAGTGTGCTCAGGATCATACTCGCACACACCTGACACAGGTCACTTGAGAGCAGCGCGGACGAAAGCTAGGGGCGCGGAGGGTCGGTGGCGGATTATTTCCTGGGTCCTTGTCGCATTGCAAGGCTCGGCGCGGGCTGTACATCCAGACGAAAATCCCGCGTCAATGTCTCGGCGTGACGCGGGCCCGAAGGAGAATTGGCGCCAGGCTTGTTGAAAGCAGAATGAATATGTTAATGTGGCTGTGTGACTGTGGTTGTCTGCCGAATGCAATGAGGCGTCAGCTTCACCCCAGCATCAAAACCGAAGACCTGAGGGGCGGAGGCCCTACACTTCGAAACTCAAACGTGATTGTCTGCCGGTCGTTGTCTCGCGAATGCAGCCCAGTGCTGCTATTGGCGGTAAGATGTCTGTTCTGTATCCAGCTTCGCCCCCAGCACATGCAATTGGCCGACCCATCAGGAACGAAGAGCAACGGGGGTGGAGGCGGGGGCCTGCCGCGGGGCCCCCCACTCTGCCTAATCGAAAACGTGCCCACAAGGGGAGGGTGGGGGGCCCCCCACCTGCAGACCTTTAACTTATACCGGAAAGAGGGGGCCTCGATGCTGCTTTGACCGAAAACATTGTAAACAAGAACTCCCACAAGCTCCAAGGAGCTAGCTTTCGTGACATCTGACAGAACACCCAATGAACAATGCAAAACCATGGACTCGACGGATGACCGCAGAAGTTGAGGCAAGTGGCCGCCCAGCAACGGCATGTAGCATTCCTTGCCTGTCCAGGTTCGTCTCTGCCAAAAGGGTCTGGTAAGAGGCAGAAATTGTGCCGGGGTGCAGCAGTGTGCAAGATTCAGGTCGACCGGCATTGCATGGCACCACCATGGAGCTCAAAGCAGTCTGCAGACAGCACGAGAAAGGATCATGCGCCCAAGTCGTGCGCGCATGTGGGCCTGCCGGGTCTCACTTCGAGCCACTGATGTGAAAGAGCACTCAGGAAAAGCTGAGCGAGAACGATGCACAAGCAAGGAAACGGAACCCACCAGCAACTGGACTGCAAATGCCGCGAGTTTGCATCGCAAGCTCAGGTGCAACTGTACGGCTGGCTAACTAACGTGACGTGTGCCTCCCTCTGTACGACCAGAGATGCACCGCAGCACTCGCGACGCAACACCCGTACGCTCCCAAATCTGGGAGGGAGTGAAAACGCCAGAGTGCCAGGCAAAATGTACAATCTGTCTTGCATCAGATTCCGACAGACAGCTCTTATGGCCATCGAGCACCCTACCTATCGTGGTGACGCGCTCTGTAAAGATTCCATCTGCATGTCATCGTCTCACGGCTTGTGCCTTTCATCGCCCTTCCCGTTCCTCTAGATCGAACCTGAACACACTTCGGTGCAGGAACACATCTGCCAAATCCAAGGTGCTTCCCCTTAAAGGAACAGAGATTCGCCTCCAGTAAACAGGCTGCCTGCGACAGAACGCCAGAGGAGCAAAAGAACTGAGGTCAGTACTGTAATCATATTGTATTATACTATCGCAGCAGGGAACATTATCATAATATCATGGCATCCACTGGATACGACATTACAGGAGCTTCTCAGGTGAAAAGACATCTCCCTCTGAGCCGAGTGGCTGCTCCTGTAGCCGCCGCGCCAAAGCCTCGTCCTCATCGATCAGCGCCTGCATTCGGTCATAACATGTTACATTAAATACCATGTTGTATTATACATATTATACTGAACGATACTTTTATCATATCATGTTCTTACATAATATTCGCCTCGGCCCCGGCCGAAACAAGGAATCCCTGTTTCCCCACCTCTTAATCCCCTGTTCAGTGACCCATCCCTCCCACAGAGACTCCGCTGACGGAGAGTGGGCTTGCCGGGAGCAAGCCCACCAAATTTTGGCGTTTGATTTCCTGTGCGAACCATCAACGGCAACATCCTCCTCCCCTAACCCTAAACCCTTTTTCGAATCTAGGCTCTGATCGAAACCCTGAACCCTAAGCACCAAACCCGAACCTCGGACACTCATCGCAAGTCCGCCTGCCGTTGCGGCCGTACTGTATTATATTGTACTGTGTATTGTAATGCACTCTATTGCAACATACTAAATTGCTTTAAGCTGTACCATGTAGCATTATGGCATTACGCAATTATGTTCCTATGTTATGTTATGCTCTATTTTGCTTCACCAGTTTACGAAGAAGGTATGGAAGATTTTCGCTCTAATCTCTGAACTTCGTGTTGTGGTAGATCTCTCTTACTTTCCAGTCGTCCGGCCTGCGCGCTTGCAGCATTCGCAGCTCCTCCACCTGGAGCTGATGTCTGGGCGTATCCATTGGTAGGAGCCTGCCATGTCGAGGCTTCAATAGCTTGAGTTTTACATCCTGACTTCCTGCTCCCCACATTCGAAGAGATCCTACCCTCTTCAACTATGCACATGCAATGCAGTCCCTGCCTGTCCGGCTCTTCTCATGGCCGCCTCTGCTGCGGCCGCCCGGGCATTCCGCCGCTGGTCAACATCCACGGGAGTGCCCAAGGCTCGCCCAGATCCCTCAAAGCTTCGGAAGGCCTGGCAAAAGCACTCTTCCCTTCTCGGACCGCCTTGACAGCCTCAGCCCTCCGCCTCGTCCGGCCGCCCAGATGCTTTCGGCTTGGGCTCTTCACTACCAGTCATGGAGCTCACGGACTTCCTCACATCGGAGGCACGGTCAATCCCACGACGCCAAAGGCTTGTGCGAGGCTCCCGAGCTCCTCATCCAGCTGCCGACACCACTCAAACCCTCTCCAACAGCAGATGCCGCCTGTTGTGCCGCTTGCTCGCACTTCGCGCGAGCTTTACCGAACAAAGCACGGAGAGAGACAGAGAGAGACAGAGAGAGATAGACAGAGAGCTCTTGCCAGCAGTATGCCACACGGGTCCGTCCCAAGATCTGTACGAGTACAGTGGCACCGCTGCGCACCTCTCCGATCTTGGCCCCAGCACCACTCGCCACCTCGCCAAGCCGCTCCCCAACGCCAGGGGCACTCGGCGCGGATGCAGAGGACGCCTGCTACAGATCTCTTCCGGTGCATCTCTTGTACTTGCTGCTGCGGCACTTCTGAGCCTGCAGAGGGGCAGTTGGCTCATCACCACTTCCCAACCGGCCGCCACCCCAATTTTGGTGGCCCATCTGCCGAACATTCGCAGCTTCCTCATTGGCAGCCACACAGCGCACTACGAGCACTGCAACGCCCTGCAGCCAATTGGCTTTGCACGCATTGCACAGCTGAGTCCCACTGGAGTCGACGGCCTCGGCCATGACATAGAAAGTACACACACACACACAGACACCAGAAGTACACGATACAACATGTCGCAGCATATCCTCAGGCTGGCACGTCGCAAATGCCTGGCAAGGGCTCTAGACACAAATGCACACACACACACACAGAGAGACAAAGAGACAGCGATGCACAGACGCACGGCAGTACAGCTACCAAAACCTGTACAACAAGAACAGTCGAAACAACATCAACACTGGCAGAGCCGGTACTGTTTCCAAAGCCCCATCCTTCGCTCGCAGCAGCACCGGCGCGAGAGCCAGCAATGGCGCCGCCCACAGCACCAGCGAGAGCGCCAACGGGGCCGAGGACTGCCCCGGCTAGCATGGAGCCACCTCAGACGCGAGATTCAGGTCTGCAGGTTCAGAAAAAGAGTTGATGCACCACGTATGCCAAGGTGCTTTGTGCACTTACACACACACGCACTTGCATCAGACTGCTTGATCTAAGATGTCGTCGGTGATGCTTTTGTCACACTGTCGTTTCTATATATCCGGAACTCCAAGCTCATCTAGTGATTCACGAGTAACTGCCCGAACAGGCTGATCTCCCCCCGAAACAAGCCTCGCACAGACTGTGCCGCCACTAAGCTCGCGACCTACAGAGCCACCCAGAGAACCCGCAATGCTGCCACCCGTTTGGTAGGCGTCCCGGTGCTGAACCGAGGTGTCCATCCTGCAAAGCGATGGGTGGTCTGGTTGCCGATGGACCGTGGCTTAGCTGCGAAGAAGTCGCGGCCGCCGGCAGCGCTCGCACACCAGGACCTTCCGCTGCCGGACATACCTCGGCAAGAGAAGTCCGGAGGCCCTCTTGCGCAACCAAAAGCTGCCTCTCATGGTGCTTCGCGGCTTCGTATACTGCTTTTGGCCAGATGCTGCTCGTTCACGGTCTCGAAGGGCATGCTCCGCACTTGTTCAAGGCTGCACTGACCCGAGACCCACTACGGCTTGAGAAAATACCGCGGCCAGCCAGAGCTGCAGAGAAGTATCACGCAATTAGTCAGGGCAAGCGTGCTTGGAAGGTCCCCGCAAGCTCGACACATCCGAGAATCATCAATGCCGAAGCACAAGCAGAACATCAAGAGCCCGGCATGCTCTCTCCGAGATCGCATCGCAAGAGAGCCTGTTTGAAGTTCCCGGCTTGAAAACGTGCCGCCGATTCAATTGCGCCAAGTTTAAGCGTTGCAAAGCACGCATTCAGACAAATTGAGGGTATGTTTGCGATAGCGTGTTTCCACCATGCATTGCTACAGCTTCTTCTGCACGCATGCCAACCGGCAACTACTCAAGACATCCGTGACAGTCGGGGCCAGGGTGCTGTACCTAGAGATTCCAGCATAGGTCTTCGCAGCAACATCCAGATCCGGCTCGTGGCCTCGAGCATCGTGCAGCTTCAGTTGCAGAAGAATGCCCACTGGCCAAGCCCTCTCACACAGAAGCGTTTCACACGTGCCGAGGCCGACGACGCAGCCGACGAGATCTGACATTCCCCTTTCCATCGGTCCAGGTGGCCTCAACGCTAGCGAAATTACCACAAGGAAAGCTGCGGGCGGCGGTCCTGAGGCAAGTGCTATCTGAATGCCATACTTCATCAGAAGCTGCATGCATCCTCTGGAGCAAGGCTCAGCCCAATTGAAGCCGGGGCCGATGTCAGCCAATTCCACCACCAGCATCTCGGCCTCAACAAGTCTGTGGGCCCGGGCATGACTTCGACTGCTTTTGGTCTGGCCGCCCTGGCCTGCATGGATGACAAGGACCGGAGCTCGGGCACCTGCAACAGGCAGTGGACCTGGCAGACGAGCAAAGATCACCGGGCTTCGAGTTAACTCGTGCTCGCCTCGGCGTGGCGCTGCGCCGTGCGGGGCTTGCTGCGCTTCCAGGAGAGTCCCGCGGATCGAGCCTGTGAGAAATGCCCGACTTTCCCGACTCCGTGGGGTCCGAACCCGCCCGAGACAAGTTGTCAAAACGGCGGGAAAGACGCCACCAGAGTTTCGAAGGGGTGACCATCAAAAAGGGACTTGGGACACAGGGAATCCTCTGCAGAAAGCTGCAGGTCGTCAGAAAGCACCGGCAAGCCTAAACTGCTCCAATGGCACAGCATTTTCCGATGGTCATCCAACTTGCCACAGCATCTGGGTTGGGCCTCTTCGAAACTGTCGAAGGTCCGGCATCGTCCACCAAACCTTGACTGAACTGAAGGCTTATCGACTGCGAGTCTGTGACCTTGCAGCTTGAGCCATGCGGCTCCTCTTCTTGCTTTTCGCAGGGCGTACTAGCGAACTTTGACGTGTCAGCCCTCCCGCCGCTCTCTCTTTCTTTCTTTCTTTCGCCAGGGCTGTGGTGCAGGGGTTTGACCCCCTACACCGCGTGCAGGTGCGCCCCCGACTGTTGCGGGTGCCAATAGTGGAAAATGCAAAGGGGCAAACTGCCCCTCTCTCGCTCTCTCTCTGTCTCTCTCTCTCTCTCTCTATCTCTCTCTCTCTCTCTCTCTCTCTCTTCTTCCACTGGGCATGAGGGACAGTTAAAGCCCCTCGGCCACTTGGGCCCCCCATGTGTTATCTCTCTCTCTCTCTCTCTGTCTTTCTCTCCGTCTTTCTCTATGAGCTTGGTAAGCTTGGCACTCTGGATCAGGACCACGCGGTCCAAGTGGCAGGGCGAAGTGATTGAATCCCCGTGCAAGGATTTGTGGCTGGCCTCGCAGAAGCATGCCAGTATGGTCCCCCTTCCCATGATTGCTTTCCTGAGAAAAGCAGCCAAAGTCCAAAGTGCATGCTCGTGGCATTATCCTTACGGCAGCCTCTCCGTCCAAGCCGGGCTGTGCGAGTGATTTGCGCTGCGAGTGATTTGCGCTCCCCTGATTCGCGCTCCTCGCCCTAGCCGGTCCTAGCCGAACAGGACTGGCGGCACCACGTATAGAAACGGATATGCTTGCCAGACAGGCTTGACTTCAAGCTGGATGGCAGCGCTTGCATAGAAGCAGGCTTCATTGAATTCATGTCGTGTCCTGGCATTCTGCAAAGGTGCAGTCTTTGTCCAGGACTCAGGGAAGCAATGGGCCCACGGATCTGGAACACCCAGCATTGTCACTCTCCGCAACATCTCACTAGTCATCCAAGCAGGCCCGAACTGCTGCCCACTGCATCATTTGAAGAATACCTCAGATGCATCACAAACACCTGCTCGACCTTTTGTTCAACTCTGGAGTTCTTGCTCAGTATCGCCAAAACAACGGGATGCACACAACTTTCGTCTGAACCGGACGGTCTCTCTGTGAACTTCTTGAGGCCTGAACCATGACACCTTGACACGAGAATAAATAACCAAGCAGCTGCGATCACGGTGATGTTGTCAGCCTTTGTTCTGTTGATGCGGTTCTCTGTGAGCGCGAACTCTACCAGCACCTATCACAAAAATGAAAGCGGATTCAATCCGCACACAGAGATGCCAGCCTGTTGCGCCCTCCTGCCACGTTGACCCTTCCGCTGTGCTGCTGGTGTAACCTAGTTATATCTGATATGCCCGCTGTCATCAGTTCTACAGGGGCACTTGAGCTGCATCCAGATCTCGCTCTGCTGCCTGCAAAGCAGAGATCCAACAGCAACATCCTCTGGAGGCCGTCCGACCACAGCTCCTGAGGGCGTGGCATCCATGGCCAAGTACACCGCCTTTTCCTTCGCGAACAGCGGATGGACGGCACACAGCAACCACTGGCCAAGCCAGCGTAGAAAAGAAGAGACGGAGCTAGAAGGACGACCCGCCTCGGAGCAGACATCCCACAGACCGTCGGATGCCATGATGAGAACCTGCTCGATCCGGGCGACTGCATGTCCATCCAGGGTTTCCATGTTTCTGCCTTGTGTTGCTCATTCAAGACGACTTGGCGGATGTCGGGTTCATTGGACAAGCCATATGGCTTTAGATCCTGCAGCAGGACAGACACGTCCCACAGGACTGGGAACCGAAACTGCCACGAAGTTCGGCCCTCCTTCCCGCCAAAGGCTCGCGAGTATGCGAGCTGCCGAGGATTATCTCCACGAGCCTCTACAGCATGTCAGGCATGTGGGCTACACAGCCAGTGTGCAAAAGCAAAACCACGAAATGATTCACCGTTAACCTTGCAATGTGTGCCAATATACACTGCACCTGACCTTCCTCTCGTCAAAATCGCCACCACATAGAAAAGCGCGCATGAGCCTTGAGACACACATGACTGAAACGTCGTCATGGGCGATGTATGCGCACCGACTCATGCTTGCAGGTGGTGACAGGCATGTGTCCGTCAAATTTTCTGGCTGGTGGTCAAACTAACCCTTCTTGCCAAGCTTGGTTCTCCTTTTGCCTGAGGCCGTTGTGGGGTCGAGCAACATGCCGCGCCGGTCGTCTATGCACTGTACGACTCCTCCAGAATCCTGCCCAGCGACGATGCATGAGACCGTGCGTGCCTGAATAAAGCTCCCGCGGCAGACCTCAATCCTCTGTCGCTCGCTCGGCGTGTTTGGCCTGGCATCTGTCCGCAAGCTTGCTTTCCATCGTTCATACGATCTTCCCTCAATGAAGCCACTCGTACTTGTGGGCCACGGTCAGGGCATCAGCATGCCAGTCGCCGTCCTCGCACGGCAGAAGCAAGCGCTGAGGGCAGGTGACAGCATTAGCTTGACCCCCAAGCACAAGCAAGAACGGTGGCATGAAAGCTTGCGCAGCCGCAACCAGCCTTTCGGCCCCTCGGTAGCTCCGAATAAGGTTGGATTATGAATTGTGACTGTTACGTTCTTGCACCTCGCGGTTCCTTGCTGTTTCTCCGTTCCGCCGATGCAGGGTGAAGCTACACTGACACCACATGTATGTACCAGAAGACAGCATTTGGGCAGGGAACTTGGTTTTGCGTTCAGCGCGCACACGCCAAAAACATCTTCTGGCGCGTTCAACGCGCACACGGGGTCCCCGATCCCTGTGATTGTTCACACTTTTCAGACCCCCTGTGACTGTTCACACTTTTCAGACATCACGGGGGCGCAGCCCCTAGAATATCTTTCTTGGGCAAGGCAATGAACGATGCTTCAATCCAGGGTCTGGAGGTCACAGTCCCGCTCAGGTTTTGCTTGTTGTGAAGCTCCATCGAGACGGAGCAAACTTAACTCTTCGTCAGGGCTGATGGATTTGCGAGCGGTGTGATGCAGGCGTCTAATATGAGTCCTCGTGTCTCTAAAGTGTCAACCGTCACAAAGATCGGGGAAGGCCAGGTGGCACAATTCAAAACTGTCGTCACTTTCGGAAATTCAGCGGCTCCTCCATACAGCCGAGCACAGCATGAGAATCGCCAAGGTGGGCAACCTGCAGCTGGCGGTACACTTCAGAGGAAACACAATAATCGACAAAAGCAAACAAAGGCCAAGGCCGTAAGTACTCCACCAGCAACCAGCACCATTACGCCAGTGCAGCTGGAGTAGTGATTCCTCGAAGCAAGCAAAACCGAGCTTGCATGGCTTGCATACGCTTGGGTGCAAAGACTACTCGGCCCGAATGATCACAAATCTGCACAGTGGCTGCGCATCCCGACATTTCTGAACGACGTCCTGGCCAAATAATATTTTCAGGTGATGCCGCTCTGCGTGACACTTGGCTGCCTTAGGCCCAAGAAGTCGTCTCCTCGTCAGCGCTGAGGACGGCTTCCTTGAGACTGGCCTGCCGGCTGTTGGATGGCAGGTCGTGTGGACCTCGACCGGTCTGACAGGCCGTGCCTGCAAGAACTCCATCTTGGCAGACAAGGCCGTGTCTGTTGAGGTGGTTTCTCGGTGTAGCTCCTGCCGTCTACATCACTGGCACTCACTACAGCCCCTCGCATTTTGTGAGCGCCTGTCCTGATACGAGGCCCAACCAGCTGTCTGCAGAATGTTAGGCAACACTAGGCGCTGCACCTGCGGATCCACAGAAGCGGACAAGCGTATTTGCGGTGAAGCGTGTTTTCCTGACAGCGCTCTAAACTCTAAGACGAAACCTTTTCCTCCCACGGCCACACCCGTTACATCAGGCTGATCTCCGCCGCCACATGTTTACTCCCTTATACTGACATCAAGTGCAGCTAGCCTGGTCAGCGGCGAAATCATCCACCGTTCCGTCCCAGATGCCGAAAAATGCCGAATCATCGCTGCCTGTCGCCGTGGCATTGCATGCAACCACACGCCGACAGAAAGGCACAGAAAGCACGTTGCGGCCTAGAAGTGGACAGATGGCCAAACGATCCTCCTGTGTCCTGCAGAAACAGTCAAGTTTCAAAGAGAGCTATCCCTCCTATCCTGTCGCGCCAATGGCAACCTGTCATCACATGCCCAGTTTCCCACGTACCCAAAGCCTCCGACCACCCAGGTTCTGCCACGCGCTTACGACCCACCTCAGCTTGCACTAGCCCAGCGTGTTCGAATTCAGCTCCACGCGCACACATAAACACACACACACACACACTGCGAAACTTTGCACGGCACGCCCGCAAGAGATCACTAAGAGACCGCGCCGTCGAGTTATCGCACTTTTCATCTTCAACGAATCAAGCGATCACTATCTATCAGCACAAGTTCAGACATGATGCGATCCAGGCATCTAACCAGCACAGCAATCGAGTTCTTTCCTCAAGTCCCTAGGGCTGGGGGTCAAGGCCACCCAGATCCACCCAGTTCATGTGTGCGGCGGAGGAATTGAGATTCCGTGTTCGCAACCACAAGCAAAGATGACGCGTAGATGAAGCCACCATACAGGCAGCTTCTTTATGAGTGTTGCCGCTCGGCGGCCGTCTATCTCACTTGGCGCATGGCTACGCGTGTTCACCTGCATTGCACAAGAACCGTAACCGCTTCAACCTGCAGAGAGCCTCAGTAAGCGATGGGCATGCGCCGCTTGATTGAGCATCAGACCGTGGGTAGCCCGTCTGCTCGAAGTAGGGGTCATGTATGATGCACAGGTCGCTTGATCCCTAGCCAGCAAGGCGGAAGCTTTGTCAAGAGACGAGCAGTCGGCGAGTCTCGACAAGTCCCAAGTGCCTTCATGCGCGCTGTGCACCAGCCGGAAGTGGCTCCGACATCTCTCAAGGAACGCGCTGCTCCGTCTGACCCCTACGATGAGCCAACGATAGCCAACGGCAGAGCCAAGCGGTAGCAGGACAAAAGCAAGCCTGGATGGGGTCCAGCAAGTGAAACAAAGCCTATGGCCTTCTCTCCGGTCAACCAGCAGGGCTCCATGCCGACGAAAAAAAACGCCACCAGCCTGACCCCAAGCGTGGAAACGCCACAAAAAGATCCACTCGAGTCATCTGTCCCAGTTCGTTGCACGAGCGACACCGCGTCCCCACGCGAGGGCCTCACCGTGCGTGGCAAGGCCCGCGGCCTCCTGAACCAGATCTGCCATTCCTGGGAAGGTCCAATTCGAAGAGACATGAAGAGACCCAAGAAGAAGGCAGCGACCACGATGCGGTCAAGGTGCGATTCGGCAAGCTTTGCTGAAAAAGTCCCAGCTCCTCGGTCGTCTTGCGACAAGTGGAGACTAGCGACTCCTCTCATGCAGCAGAGCACCTCCAGTCGGCGAAGAAACGCCGGCTGCAAGGCAAGGCGAAGATCCACCTCGGCCAGACGCCAGTTGCGATGCTCGCAGACACTGCTTGTGATCTCAGGGTTCGGCGCCGGCATCCTGCAGTAGTTCTAAGCTCCGTCGAAGGCACTGCCGGTCAGAAATCTCCAAACAGACCTTGCAGGGGCAGAACATGTCCTGCAGACCCGCCTCCGGTCCGACCGGGTGCTAGCAATGCGAGCAAAGAGCGGAGAGAAGCAGGACAGTGCCCTCAACATCCACCGAGGGGCCCTGGCAACGCGAATGCCAGGTACGGCAAAGTCAAACTCTCATGCACAGCAGTAGCTGGCAAGCTCTATGCTCAACTACGAGGAAGGGTCGGACGGACGAGCGTCATGAGGCCAACAGCGAATTGACGCAGCCGCCACGCTTGCATCGTACAGTCATACCCCATGATGCCTGTATGTTGCATTTTGTGAATGCAGGATGATGCAGGCACAAACCTAGTCAAGACAGGTTAAGACATGTAGCCTGATCCACCGAGGACCAGCATTCGGCTGCCTGCTTCAGCCTTACCGCAAGGACCCCGCAGAAAACTCGCTGCCTGCACCAAAACAGAGCAATCGCCGGGAGTCCCGGGCCTGTCTGCACGGGGCCTCGTCGGCTTCGCCTCCTCATTTCTACCAGGTTCTACCACTCACCCTTTTCTCATAGCTACAGGCAACAACCTTGGAGAAGCAAGCTCCTCAAGCCACTTCGGGATAAGCTCGGTTGCGAGTAAGGACCTGTGAGTTGCCAGGAAAGTCAAGAGCAGCACTGTAGTGACTCTTTCAACTCCTCGAGGGCCCAGCAAAGGAGATCTCTCCGGAGATGTACCACATCCCGCTGAAGACCTCCTGCACCCCAACACGTCCCCCACCCCAGCAAGCAGAGGAGGAATGCTCGGTCCTTTGTGACGCCAACTCCTGCAGAGCTTGAAGCACTAAGATGCATGAAGAGCCTGGGCCCTTGCCCATTCAAGTCTGAGACTGCCGAACCTCGGCAGCCTCATCGTCGGAAGGACAACACCAGCGCAGCGCACGCTGCAGCAGTGGTTTGGCAAAGCTATCAAGCTCCACCTTCCCAGGACAAAGACAGATGGAGCCAGCACTTGCGAAAAAAGAAGGAGGCTGACTCAGACAGCATGCTGATCTAAATGCAAGACTGGCGGACATGTGCTTCGGAGGCAGGGTAGTGCCTGAGAGAGTGTCAGCCCACGGTGATGCTCAAGCCGGCCCAGTACACCCAGCACCTGCACCGATAAGAAGCGGCGCCGAGGGCAGTCTCTGCGGAGTTCCTGGCTTTCGCTCTCAAGTCTTATCCCGACCTGTCGAGCTAAGTGTTTGGAAAGGTGGCAAGTGCCTCGAGTTGTCTTGCCAGCGAGTCGCTAGGTGGAGTTGGCCGAAGGCACATCTCGAGCTATGTTTCGAAAGACCCTCCGAGGCACGAAACCACCGCCGCCCTGCAGTGCAGCAAGCCACTTCTTCTAGTTGGAAACCATTCAAAAGCCTTAGCGTTTCACCTTTCCAAATGTCGGCCGCTCGCCCGCTTCTAGGCCCGTGTGCTGGCGCCGGGAGGTGTGACTTCGCAACCGCTCACTGCCATGCAGTGGCCCCAACTTTACCAACCTAGCAAAGTTGCTGTAAAGTGCTGTGCCAAGGGCTCATGGGTCCGAACGTCAACTATTTCTCTGCTCCGTTGCATTTGAAGGGGTCGGAGCACCCTGAACATGTCGCCCGCATTGCTGAGACCAGACAGCCACCTCGTCAGCAAACATCGCATCCTCCCGCACCAGAGCCGCTCGCAGTAGCCCCCGTGCCCTCCCGGACAAAACCAGGAGTCTCTGAAAAGGTTTCGGATATTCCCACACGGGAAAAGGCTGCAAGGGCTGTCAGATTTGCAAAAACAAAACCTTTTGGCAACCCTTCAGGCGGGCCGTCTGGAATGCTTTGTACAGTGACAAGCTCGGTTGCTCGTCTCATGCTTCAGGGATGAGACGGCACCAGCATGTCAGAATCGATCATGTTCTTGCTCGACGTCGCGACATAGACCGATCGGTCAACGGTCAAGCATGGACTAAATCATGCAGAGGTAAGGGAATCTTAAACAACCTCTGTCCAAACTGCTAAGGCTCTTAAAGCTCTGCCGACGCAGGAATCGGCTTCGTAGCCAACGTCTTGACGAAGGCTGCCACCTGTTCAAGGAGGTCAGGCAGTGCACGGCAGTACTATGCTGCAAAGAAGCCCGGCCGTATCCCTGGCAAGCTTCATGGAAAGGAAAGTTCCAGGACAGCCACGAGGTGCTGCCGGGCATCCTGCGCTGAACGGATGTCTGCTGAGGGCCCGGAATCCCCAGCGGCCCTGCTGCATGAGAACATCATTACGCACTTTGCGAGCCTGCGACGGTGTCACAGGTCTTGAAGGCACCCCACTCCTTAAAACTCCAGGACTGACATGGCAAACGCTCTTTTGCCGAGACCTCTTCTATAGGAGAGGCAAGGATCGTTGTTCCACGACAGCAGCCTCTCTGCCTCGGATCTTGGCATGAAGCCGGATCCGACGACCGCTATCTGCTGGGCACGTTGCATTCTCACGACCAGGAATGAACTTGTGGGCATCCTTGAACACCGAAGGATCGTGGTTGGCGCCGCTGCTCAGCATCATCGTGAGCTCGCCTGATTGCGTCTCTAACACGGAAACCTCCGGAGAGGCGACACAGCGCACGCACAGCAGACGTGTGCTGCAAAGGCAGCCTTCATGGGCGGTCCAGGTCTTGCCGATGGAGTTGAAATGGATTTGTGTAGACTTGCGGAATTGAGCTGGGTTCATGCCCCCGACAGGCGGCTTGATGCGAGCCGCCTCCAACCTCAGAACCACGTGCAAACAAGATCGAGCACCGAGCAGACCCCAAGTTCGTGCCTGACAAAGAGCATAAACGCATCAGCATCTCGTTGAAACATAGGAACATAAAGGCCAGGATCCTCTTGACCGGAAGTCTGCAGACAGTCCAAAAAACAAGGGTGACGTCGGCATGTCCTTCAAGATCAGCCGCAAGGTTTCGTATGCCAGATTGCCTGTTCCCCCGTATCCAGCAAAAAGGGCGATCCACACCATCTCATCCAAGCGCTGCTTGCCCGACCTGCTTCGTAACAGGGCAATGGTCTAAGAACCAGGAGCAAGCCGTTTCCACCTGCAGACAGGCAGCATACCCCGTTCTGTTGCCAAGGCGATGAAGTTCCTGGCGATTTCTCCAGCCTCCACCTTCTTCATGACGGTGGAACGAATCTCAGAAAGCCTGCGGCCTGGCAACACGGGCCATCTATCTATCAGTTCAGTCTCTGTGCGTTTATCGGAAACCCATGCCTGCCTTGGAAAGCTAGGACAGGTGCTCCCAGCACTGCAGGCGTGAAAGTGCCGTCCTGGTGAATGCGTCCCAATTCACAGCAGTCACAAGTCTGTGGTGGGGGTGGCGACGCGGGATCCCATTCACACATGACTGTAGAATGGAACAGGCAGCAGGAAGTGCGGTGTGGTCTTATCCATGAGTCTAAGATACGACCATGGGCCGTGGGCCATATATCAACATCGAAAATTATATGCGCCCTCCAAACTTACAAAAACCTTCAACTCCCCGGCTGAATCCGAGGAGACCCGGAAAGCGAGTTATAACGGTCTTCAAAACCCTGAACCCTGAACCCTAATTATAAACCCTAAATTAACCCTGACCCTGAAATTCCCGTAAACCTCAAAATCCCCGTCTCAAACTGGATGTTGCAAGTTGCAGTTTCCAGAATGCACATCGCTTACGCCTGTAACAGCACAGCCCGTTACCCTACAATGATGGCCCTACGAGCTTCCAGGGTGTTGCTCCACTGATGCATGCCAGTCTCATATTCAAAAATGATCCCGAGCTCCGCCCCAACGTCGACCCCAAATAATGCTCGGAACCTCGTGACAAACACAAGCCAAAGCTGGCCAGGAAATACGAGTCCGAGTTAGCTTCCAAAGCCAAAGCACAAATTGAAGCCCACCGTGTCGAAAACCGCACGCTTGCTGATTCCGTCCACTGATGTGCCCGGGGGAACTTGGAAGTCCAGTTGGAACTCCTGCCCGAGGCTTGGAAGCCTGAGTTGCAGTCAAGACCGACCTGTGGTCGAGCGGAATGAGCAGACATTCGACCGAGCGACGCATCCGCCAAGAGCTTGCGACGAGCCGTATGTTCTGCAGAGCCGGTGTCGAAGTTCAGCAGAATGTCTGGAGACAGGTCTGGAAGAACTCCTCACGTCTTCGACGTCTGCGCTCACTATGTACATCTGGCTTTTCGTCTCTGGTAGTAAAGGGGCACCAGCACCACCCGTGTAAAGAATCTCAACTCAGCACTCCTGGCGGCAGCGACGTCTTGTTCGATGCCACCATCATGTCTGCGGGTCGGCCCGCTGCCGCATCGTGGGCCCAGCTCTTGTAGGCAGAATGCGAAAACATCACCGTGCCCACTTCTTAGCACAGGTAGACGTTTGAACGCAGACCCATGATTCAGCTACAGCACGGGAAGACATCGTCACGTGAAGGAAGCATGCCTATGTCTCTACGACTCTATTCTATTACACTCCGGAGCACTGTCTCCATGGAAGGCCATGCTGGGGGCGAAGACTGCGTGCAGTCCGATGCCTGTCTCCCACGTAAACGTCCCAATGAGCTCTGTCGCAATCTCATCTTTGACACAGCCCAAGTAGTCGCCAAGACAATACGTGAAGTGGCGGCCTCGACAACATCTCGACCGAACAGCAAAACCAGGTCCACAAAAGCAGCTAGCACGCGACATTCGCTTGCTTCGGACCATCCCACCTGTTGAGATCAGCCCAGATATGAATATTCCAGTTCCCGTAAAATGTGTCATTGATGCTTTGTGAAACTCCCGGGAAATCTCCGGAACCAGAAGGCACCCAAAGAACCTCGAAGCAAAGCAAAGAACGACTTCTCATTCTTGCGGATTGTGTCAGAGGGTGAACACTGAGCACCGATCTGTCCAAAGTGCGGTCGAGCAGCACAGCAAAAATTAGCAGGGAAGATGCAAGAATGCAACTGGCACCACAAGCACACATGGTCACACACATGTGGAGAACTGGCCCGTCTTGTGTGCTGCTTTGCATTGTACAGCCTGGAGAACGACCACACTACGCTGCAAACTTCAGTTTTTGTTTAGACTCTGATTGCAGTGCCTTGTCTTAGTCTTGGCTACCAGCTATGACGACTTAATGCTATATATTGCACTGCTTGGCTTGAGAGAGAGACATTATCAGAATCAAAGTCCCAAACTTGCAACCACACAGCAGACATCACAAGCGTTATCATGGAGCCTTGCCAATCTCCACTCGAGATCTCCCTCTGGCGAGTCCTGTGCTGTGCAGAGCAATCAAGTTATAGAAGCCGCAAGCAGAAAGATGCAGAAAGCCAAACGGCCTGGCATCTGGCACCAGAAGAACCTCAAAACATCCGAATTTGCAGGTGCAACGCAGAAATGTAATGCGCTCGACAACCACTCATGACTCAATACTCAGAAGATCCATGACAACTGGCGGCAGAAGTTGAAAGCAGCCGCAACTGCCAGAAACTCGTGCTTGCACCGGCTTCGGTGGAAATCAGGCAAGGGCTGGAAGAACCGATGCCGTTCTTGCTCAGCACCTGTCTGACATGCTCGGAGCTTGACACGACCGATACAGTAGGCCAAGCCTTGCGCAGCTCTTGGTTAGGCACCTGTCAAAAAGAGAGAAGAAAAGAGGGGCGGGCGTTGTAACATTTGCGTCGAGACCCTCTCGTTTTGTCGCCTTGGGATGGCCGCTCTGGCGCTTGGCAGCGGCGGAGCAAGGCCAACCTTCCACTTCCTGACCTCCCAACGTCGGAGCAACTTCAAGCGAAGTAGTGTGCAGCAGCTGCGATCAATGCTGCAAGAGAGCCTATACGCCCACGATTGATCTCACTCCAGCTGGCGCAAGCCTGAGGGGCGGATGATTGGCAGATGCACCACAGACGTGGTTCGACCTTTCTATTTCGTTCCATGCCGAGCTCTGGAACATCTTCTATCCGAGCCTCTATCTATCCTCTTTGCTATCCCGTCTCTCTGCGCTTGCGAAGGGTCGCTGCATGTTGCTGCCATTTCCGCACGCCGACAGTCCACCCGAGCTCCCTCACAACTGGACTCCAGTCTGTCGGGGCTGCCAGGCGCCAACCTCATCATTGAACACTGGGATACACGTCCAGGCACATCACTGTAAGTCCTATCTACGATTCTACGGGCTCTACGGGTGTAAGCACCCGGCTCTAGCAGACGACCAGCGGCATGCCACTCTGCGTCGCCATGGCCACCTCGGAGGAGGTGAACCTGCGCATGGTCACTTAAGGATACTTGCTTACAAGAGAAACCTGGTGTCTCACGCCACAGCCAAGCACTGCATACACACAAAAATCCCCTTTGCCAGTACACCTGCACACAGGCAAATGCAGTCGGTCCTGGCGCGCAAGCTGATCTGCTCCCGCCCGGACTAGTGCACTGCGCAGACGCGGCGAGCTTGCATCGAATACGGCTTCGCAAAGTGCATCGCGGCCTTGCTCGGCAAGTTGGTGGTTAAGTTGAGTGTACATTGGAAGCCCGACAGCAATTCCAGCACCGTCACAAAAACCCAGTGGCCTGCAAACCTCTCACCCAGCAACACCATAGGTTGCCGGAGAAGCCATACAGCAGCAGCCAGGAGGCCACCTCGGCATCACTTCCAGCCGAGACAATTTCGGCCTGCCTGACTGCAACCCGAAACCCGCCGTGACACAAACGAAGCTCCAAAAGCAGTAGCAACCTAACGTGAATTCAAAGCCTGCATCTTGCAACCTAGCGGCCCGCCACAGAGAAGGACCAGCCCACTGCGACGAGCATGCGGCTAATAAGGCTGCTCTTCTGCAAGAGCAGACAATCATCGCCCACGAAAGCGATATTCAAACCGATAAGGTTGCCTAAGAGATATCACCAGCCAAGAAAAACACACAAGCACAACGAGGGTTTTAATCGCTCGATGCATGTATGCCGGTTGTGATCGAGCCACCGACTGCGTAGGCTCCGGCTCCACCCAAAACACCAAGAAGATTGCCGAAGAACTGGCTAAGACCTGGGAGCCAATGACGGCGCATTGTCGTTATGCTGCCTCCGACGCCGTTCCTAAGGATTGGCATGGACGGCAGCTGACCAGCAAATTGCAAAACTGAGGGAGAAACGATGCAAACCACACACCCAGCCGAATGTCAAAGATGCGATGAGAACATCCACCGGAGCCGAATGGAGCCAATCCACAATGGGCGTCGCAGGCAAACCACCACTCGATGACACCACTGCATAGCCGGCATCGAAAACGGGCAACATATATCCCACCTTGGTGTTTGTGGATACTGCACATGTCGGCCAGGAGTACGTATTGCATGCCACTTCACTACGATCAGGCAAGCTCAAGAGTTCAGACAGACCGCATGCAGAACGTACAGTTTGCTCGTCGGTAAGCCCAAATCTACTCCTGTGCGAGTGGGCGTCCATGGAGCTCCTGCTTTGCCGCAGATGGCGCCACTCGTTCAAGAAGCGCTCGACCGGGATGGTTTCGTCAAACCCCCACGGGTTGCGAATCCTGAAATCGCACAGGAGGCATGAAATTGCCACCACCTGACGTGCATCCTTTATCTCACATCCAAGGCTCCGAACGCCAACGACCCCCTCATCATCAGCATCGAAACCCAGCAGATTGACCAAGTGGCCGGTCCCACCGTTGTAGTTCAACATCACGATCACAGCGCACCCCTGGGCAGCTGCACACTCCAGAGATGGCTTCTGCAGCAATTCTATTTGTCTGGCTACGGATGGAACTCCAGGTGCCCTGGCTTGTGGCTTCGTGTGCAAAGCCGAGGCACCATTTCACGATACTGTTTGAGCTGCTCCAGCGTCCCGAAGTTGTAGTGCTGAGCAACGAAGCCCACATGCCGGGCGAATTTTGCCAATTCCGCAGGGAGTTCGCCTGGCCATCAACGCCAGGTGCAGTGTGCGACCTGGACCCCACATTCACTGTCATGCATTATGTCATTATGCTTGAGGCCATGCCTAGATCCACAGCACCATATGGATGAATTCGCCGCTCGATGATGTCTGGGTCGCATGGCAGGCCAAGGAACTCCAGGGACATTGCCAAACATGTCGATCCGCAGGACCTTGCATGATTACATCATACTGAAGAATCGTGAATCAAGAATGTGGAAGTAGCACGAAGAAACCTCTGGAGCTCATCATTGCTCATGTCTCTTCTACTGAACTGTTGGAAAGCAGCTTTATGCATGACGGGACCTGCTGCAAAGTCTTTCTGATACACCCACTGCGATGGCTTCGGTGCATCTTTGCAAATGCAACGAAACCTGAAGGAGTAAGCAGGCACAAAAAAAATCTTCTGTTTGGCTAATCACGACAAGAGAGGCGGGCCCTTCTGCGTCAAGCGTGGCATCGATTCCATAATGGCCTGCACAACATTTCACCATGCAAAATCCATCACGAATTACCGCATGTTCACCCCGTCGCTGGGATCAACGTGTTGAGTTTTTGCGATTGCATGCGTAGGACTCGGAAGCCAGTTCTGGAATTTTTTGGCTTCTGAACCCGTTGTGTCGGCAGGCCTTGCCAAACAAACGATGTTGTCCCTCCTTCGTTGCACCCAGAAGGCTTCAGAGACAATAAACTGCAGAATAAAGTGGGTCGTGGCTCCTGATCATCCGTGAACGATGCGAATCGATTTTAGAACACAAGCCCCAGACTGAACCAGCATCGATACAAGTTCTTGAGTTCTTAACTCTGTTTCATCGCCCCGCCGTCATGTTGAGCGGAGTTCGAACGCCGACGAAAATGAGGAGCACGATTCCTGCAACATCGGACATGACAAACCGTTGCATACGGAAATGGGTCCTTTCTAAGTTTTGTTCGAGGGCCTTGCCTGCACAAGCAAACTGCTTCTGGGCACGACCGTCCAATGGCATCAACTTACGACCGTTGCCATGGCTCCGCAAAGCGCCATGGTCAGATAACTCACACGGTATGCATCAACAGCTTCGGAATAGTTTGACTGTGTTTGGGGGAAACTGCAGTGGATCTTCACAGGCATGGCTGACAGGTTAACCTCAACAGCTACAGTTGAACATCCAGCATCATTCCAATCCGAACTGCCACCGGGCATGCCATGTATGTGATAGAACCCACAACAATCTGAGACGGCAACACCGCGGCACGATGTCGCTCCGCAGCCGTGGCGGCGGCGGGCCTCATCTTACGGCTGCATGCTCTCTCCTCTGGTTATCGCACGTGACACGCAGCTTCAAGTCGCAATATGTAGCCTGCCTGCACACTCCATCTGCTCCATGTTTTCCTCGGTCGCTCAGATGCTCAGCGGAGAACGTGTGACACAACCCCCGGCCGGCCCGCCTGCCAACAAGCAGGTTCGCTACAACGATGACATCAAGTCGAGTATGGAACCTAGTGTGTGCAAACAACGAACCTGTAAAGGCAACATGACAGCAACGCAACTCGCCTTCTTGCAGGTTGCTTCCTCTCCTCGTCAACCAAATTACAACTGCTGGTATGGTGTGCTGATGCGAACAACGAACCGTTAACTTGGCGAAAGTTCCCCGCCTGCCCGATGCAGATGATGCCGACACACTTCACGCACTTGTGATGTCCCCTACACACGATAGGGATCATGGATTACGAATCTATCTACAGCTGCGGGTTTTAGCCAAAACACGGCAACATGCACGCTTTGCATTCACACCACATCTGGATTGTTCGGTGTCCTCCCAGCGAAATCCTAAAACAAAATTTTGGCTCAAGATTTTTGGATGCAAATCAGCTCAAGGTTCGTAGTGAGGCCCCCTCGCTAGCTCGTTCTGCCCCTCACGGTCGTTCGGGCCTTCGTTGAGGCCACTTAGCTTGCCATCGCGCTGTGCGAGCGTCCGGTTCCTCCCCGAGGACTGCCTGCTCTGCCTTGAGTGCATCCAGTTTTCTTGGGTCCTTTTCCCCCTCGTTGGCACTGGCTTTCGAACTCTCGACCCGGAGAGCTTCTGCACGGGCACACGCGTCCCTGGCCTGCGCTCGGCCGCTGCTTCTTTCAGAGGCCGATGCCGAAGACGCTGCATTCCCTTGTTGCGATGCGTTCACGCACCTTCCCTGCCTCGTGCGCTGCGCACACGCCCATGGTACGTGTCCCAACTGCCGTGCTGCCATTGATCACCTGCCACGTGAGCCTAGCATTGCCGTGCCGCACCCAGCACAGCCTTTGCCGTTGTGCGCGATTACGCCGTGCGAACCTTCTCCCGGGCGGATGCGGCGGAGCCCCCTGAGCCAGCGCACATCCGAGCCGCGTGCTGCAATAGACTTGCCGGCCGCCGAGTTACCCGATGCCAGCATGCACTGGGCCCCGTTGCCGCAGAGAGACGCCCAAGGCATCGAGTCGTGGCAGGCTTGCAGTGGCTGTGCAGGCGCTGCCACAACGAGTTGCTCCTTGAGCGCGTCCGTGTGCCGGATCCAACCCCTGCTTGCCCTTTCTGCTCGACGCCGATGCTGTGGGAGGGCAACACGTCAAGAACGGTGGGTCTGCAGCCGCTGCCCCTTTGCGCGCCCACCACGGGCCCTTGCGCTGGGGCCTGCAGCTCCACCCCTCCTTGGATCCCGCCCGCCAAACCCGCTGCCCCCTGCTGAGCCAGCCACCATAGGACACGACGCTGCGCCCACACTTGCGCCTGCGCCGGTCCAATATGCACATCTAGGTCCTCCGCCCTTGCCTTTGCGAGAAGGCACCAACTCTGCCTTGTACGTGCCTTTGCTGCTGGACGCGGCCGGCATGCTTTCGGCGGAGGCACAGCGCGCGTGGCGGACCCGTGCCCCCATCCATGAATGGTGGCCTACAGCAGTCGCTGCGCTGCAAGCACGCCCCTTCATCCCTGTAAACGAACTCACGGCAGCGGTTGAGCATATGGCCCGTGCCTCCCCACCGCCGGCCCTCCTCTCGCCCTCAGTGCAACGATTCGGGGAGTGGGCGACAGGTGCGACAGCAGGGGCAGGCCATGTCACATCCCTTGCGGAGCTTGTCCGCGCGATCGCTCTCGAGCCAGAAGGCCACTACATTGCGGCGCCACTGCAGGAAGCGCTCCTCACTCTCCTCCTTGGTCCTGCCGCCGCTGCCACACTGGTTCGCCTCATAGAGACCCTGCGCGTCCAGCCCGTCGGCGCACAAGGCCTACCTCCACAACACAGTTCTGTTGGCGCTGCTGCGCCCGCAGCTCCTGCGCCTGCCGACGAGCACCGTTCCGACGACGAGCACCGTCGGAGACGACGCGCCTGCGCTCGATGCGGCGGCCCCGGCTCAGGACGAGGACGAGCGGGTGCTCCACATGCCATTGCCGAGCGCAGTGCCCG